CTTACCTCTTACTTACCTCTTACTTATCTTATCTTATCTTATCTTATCTTATCTTATCTTATCTTATCTTATCTTATCTTATCTTAAATGTTTGAGATGAGCCTATACAGTGATGTCAGGCACTTTTATCAGTTTGCCCTCATATTGACTTTTATTCCTGCTGTTTGATGACTAACAGGCGACAGTTCAGAGGAGGATTCGGATGAGTGCAGCTGCACAAACGGCCGCTGTGTCCGTTCTTATCTGGGCACCATGTGTGAATGTAACACAGGCTTCAGGCTAGACCACTCCCGCTCTCGTTGTATAGGTTAGTTAGTTGTTGTTACACATACAGAAATACATTTTACAGCTATAAACTCCCCGGTTTATTGAATGTGTTCATCTGTTCCAGACATCGACGAGTGTGCAGAACCAGGCCCTCGCATCACATCCTGCAAGAACGCTCGCTGCGTAAACACTTACGGCTCGTACAAGTGCTACTGCAAGCACGGCTTCGTGCCCACGCGTCGGCAAAACGTGTGTGCCCGTCGGAGAACTCAGTAACCTCAGCGTGTTCTATGCAGCAACGCATCCACCACCTGGAATAAAACAAATTTTAAAAATCATGCTGTGCTCAGAATTCTCATCGTGGAAAAATAAGGTGTCCTTAAAAACAGTGTTTCTCTGCAATCTCTCTCATAAAAACGGACAAACATATCATTTTCAGCTCATCTTTCACTTTACAAAGTAATCGGACTAGAAAAATGTTTGTTCATTAGTTAAACCTTTTTTGTAATTATTGTTTTCTAAACTGTTTTTGTAATTTGTTTTTGAATTGTATATTTTTTGCCATTTTGTTTTTGGTCTCTCCCATCGCAGTGATTATAATTTTAATCTCTGGAAGTAAGTTAGATTCATAAAGTGAACAAAGAAACAGAAAAAAGCTCTTCTATGGTATTTCTTTTGTCTTCAACTCGTTCAAAATCTGGAGTGTGAGAGAAGAACTTTTATATCATTTAGTATTGCTTTTTACATTCCCCTTAGAGTCCACGCTGCCATGTTTAAATGACATTATTTGAAGCATATTTTCTACAGTAATTATATATTGTTATTGTACAGTTGGTTCATTAGATCGGTCCCTATGCTTGTCTGTTTACTTGATGTAAAATTTGAAAAACTTGAGGTTCTGTTTGTTTGACAAAGTGCACTTATCTGGACTTCATATGAACAAGGCAAAAAAAGAAAGGTTTGTGCACAACATAATGAATACTGTATATTGGGAATATTTACAAAAATGTAGCTTCTGTTGGAAATTCAAGAAAGATGATATTTGCTGCGCCAAAGCACCCGGGAAACCAAAGAAGCTGTTGGGAAGACAAGAATTTAATAAAAAAATTGTAAAAGATTTTTAAACAAATTGTGCTTTTTGTGTTTGCGTTTTTTCCGCACATAGGATGAAGGATCAGTCGGACACTTCTAAGCCTTTAAAGTTTGCCTAAAAAAAAACAACTAATGTCAGCTCATGGGAGCACTCAAAATCTGTAATGKTGGTGACTCTCAGCTACTACCACACCACATTTTAKCTTAGCATATGTGAATTAAAAGCATTGTAGCCATTTTTGTGTTGTTWATTGGAAGCCATGTTGAATTGGRTTGACTCCAAAAGGTAATCAGCTGCAGATGAACATTCAATAATTACTTTCTGAGTTTCATTAAAATCCACTTACTGGTTTATGAAATAATTTGCTAACAAACACACAAGCAGGTGAATGTAAAATACATTAAGCCTAATCATATGGATAAAGAATAATCAAATATACAGTTAATTTGTTTAAAATTACCTTTTAACTTTTCTTAAATCCATTGTTCCACCCTTACAGCTGTTTCAATTTTCTTTTTACATTTAGCCTTATTTTTTCTGTCTTTTTTTCATTTGGTTTTATTATGAGTTGTTCATAAAACCTTACATTTTTTAATCCCTGAATAACTGAAATGTTTTAGCTAAAAAGTTGCTTCTTTTGCATGTTCAAAACAATTAATTTTACTGTAAAATGAGATGAAYAATAATTCACAGACCTTCCATTAGAGGGAGCTGCTTGTCCATACGTGGCTTTTCACCTGCTGTAATTCAACAAGCTCTCCATCATCAACAGACCACCACAGTAAGGGGATGCAAGAAGATGATGTCGCTGTTTCTCTTTTTTTCTTCATTCGCCTGTTCGAATTTTCTAAACACAAACTTGATGGAAGCCTGAATGGAACCACTTTTGTATCATGTGATTCTACAACCAACCAGTGGTTGCATCACATGGTAAAAGATGGTTTTATACCAAAGAGCTGCTCCAGTCCTGCCCCCCAGACCTGCAGATGTGAGCTCAGTGAGTCACGTTGCATGAGAGCAGCACCTCTGCTTCTTACCGCCCTGGTTTCATTCTGTCTAATAATTCTGTCYCTTTTAAACAGGGTGACCTCCAGCAACTAGTTTAAAGGGAGAGACAAGAAATGGGACAGGAGAGTCAGGGGAAGAGCAAAAACCAAAACAGAAATAGCAGAGTTGTTCTTGGGAGACATGTTGGGGATATAAATATCTTGAAATGGGTCATGGTGACATGAGCATGACCCGACGGGTAGCAAAGACACTAAACTTATTTTAGTCAAATAACAACTTATGTTGACTTTCTGCAACAAATATGACACAGCAAGACATTGATGATGCTTCAAACTGATTTATCTGCCTTTTTGCAAACACATGCTAATTTCTTTTAGAATTTATACCAGTTTCCTGAAGAAAAACTAGCTTATTTATGAAAAAGCAGAGAGAAATAAGAGAACAAAACACAACATGTTGTAATGGAACATTAAGTTTCTGAAAGTGAAAAGAGRGRTCACCTCTGGACCAGTCYAGACCTCAGGACAACTAAAGACCTGATCGCCTGTGTGAACTAACCTGGACCTTGGGACAACTAAAACAATCATTAGAGCTAAGGGATCTGGGGGGTAGCAGGAGGTCAGACTGGACCTAAAAGARCCTGTTTATTCTGGGTCTTCAGGCCATCAATAAAACTTTAAAATCAATCCTAAAACAAACAGGAAGTCAATGAAGGGGAGTCAGCACCTTGGAGACATTTTCACGGTCCTTTGTTCTTGTTAAAAGACGAACTGCAGCGTTCTGGCTGACACCAACATACAGAGTTACAACAATCCATCCATCCATCCATCCATCCATCCATCCATCCATCCATCCATCCATCCATCCATCCATCCATCCATCCATTATCTTTAACCTGCTTCTTCCCTTAAGGGTCACTGGTGCCCAGCAGTCACTGTGCGAGGGGTGAGGTACACCCTGAACAGGTCACAAGTCCATCACAGGGACACATGGAGAAAAATTCGGATGAGGTGGTTCTTCGTACGTCAGCATCGATACCGGAAATATTAAATATGAAATGTTTACCGAATCGAGGCACATATTAAAAAAGAAACATGTTGACCTTATCACTGTTTAAAGTAAATGACTGCAATCAATCAAAAATTATAAAATATAAGACTGTGTCTAAATATCAATCACAAAATATCCTTCATTACAACAGACCTAATCTGTAAATTTAAATCAAATATCACCTTTTTTTACATGAGTTTTTACAAATTGCTCCARGCTRCTCAGCTCTGTGGGAGATAATCTGYTTATTTTTGATCATCTATAAAAATAGCGTGTGGTTTTTGAGCAAAAACAAGCACAGACAGCCATTTTGGACTTCTAAGATTAAAAAAAGAATTTGAATTTGGTAGAAGTTGGCAACAATGTTTCAAGCACAACTAATTTCTTGATTCCTGCGTCATGTGATTCAGCTTAAAGACTGAGGGCACAGAGTCAAACCAGCTTCGCCAAATCCCCTCCTTCCCTCCCTCCCAACCTCTCCACTCTGGTCACTGCATGCACAAATGATGACCCCCCCAACCCCACCCTGCCCACGTCCCATCTATAGTGACCAGACAGTGGGGGGTTTAGCTCAAACTGCTGCAATCTGCAAAAAAAACCACTGTGTTGGACACACTCTGGCAGCCAGTGGCAGCCTTATATCCTGCACTCAGCTCTTTCCCTTTGTCATGGTGGATTGTGGATGAGCCCTCTGCTGGGGTGGGGGTCTGCACGCCTAGGAAGGGCCAGGGGGCCCAGCTGGGACAGTAAACAGCTTGGGTGTCTATGTGCACTATCAATGCATATGTTGCAATGCATACAGCTCTTCTCTGCTTTTCTATTTATTTTTACAACTCATTTCCTCTACCTGTTAAGGGTTGCATGGGGTGGTGCCCATCTCCAGGGTGCACCTTGGACCTGGGTCGACAGAACTCACTAAGGATTGGGCATTGTCCCTGTCCTGGGCATGAGAATTAAGGTGGAGCTGTGTCTCTAGGGAAATGRATGTCTGGGTTTCTGTTGCCTCCGTGACCTGACCATGTATAAAAAAATAGAGATAGAGAAATTTATACAACTGTTTAATCAGCTAAATCAAAGTGCCTACCACCCAGGGTTATTTTTTGACCATCTAAAAAATAACATCTATTTCTCTCGTAACTTTTGCTGACTGTACTTTTTTCTTTGAAGGCTCCCTTTTAAATTAGCAACATTTTTCCTCCCGTTACCTCAGCTGTCCTTCAGCCTTCACTGGAATGTGTCTCTAGAGTCAGTTGCTACGTATATATATTTTGGGCCTTGGCAAATTTTCTCAAAAATGTGGGCAGTGCAAGCCAGTAACAACAGCTGATGCTTCGTTCTGTTAGTGAAAGGAGCCTGTGCAGCTGAAGAGTTACTACTGATAGAATCACAGCCGCAACACAGCAGAACTGTTTCACGACCATGAAATGCTTATAATCAGCTGCAGACTATTTTCTGAAATGCTCAGCCCCTCCTTAGAGACCCATCATAAAGCCTTCACCACCCACCACTTTGTTGGTTGAGCAACACCCAAACTTACAGATCCAGATACACACCCAGCAGAAGACAGACAGCAGAACGAAGCACAAACAAGCTGATTAGATGTTAGAGTTTGGATGACTTTAAGTCCCTGTGAAGTGTGATAGCTCTAGAACCATGAAGCTACTTTGGTGATTTAAAATAAAGGAGCACGAGGGAAAAATAAAAATAAAAGACTTTTCTCCAATTCTTAGGATCTCTTGCATGAGGATCCTCAAGGGGCTTATGAATAACCCAGATCTTGATGACTTTGCATCAGCCAGGTGCTCAGAAATAATTTAGTGCAACTGCAGGCTTTACAAGATGAATGACCAAAATGGGGAAAAGTGAACCAAATGTCAAAGAATGTGGAGCTGGGAGGTTTAGATTTGGTTTTGTGAAAATGATCCACGACCAAGTAAATAAAAAATATGTTTCAGTGGTTTGTGATAATGCAATCAACATGATGTAAGAATACTCAAGATGGTGCGGAATGTGTTTACATGTCGTGCAAAAGTTTTATGCCATCTAAAGATCCAGAATTTAGTCMGTTTTTCAGGCTTTTCGATGGTCTTTTAACATTTTTTTCTTGGCAGTTTAGTCACTTGTTTTCAGTCCAATGATTTACGATTTTCAAATTATTTTTTGCGAAGCCACTTTAACTCTGACATATAAATCATTCGGACATTAAGAGGCCCCTAAACTGAAAAGATGAACTAATGTTGTGTCAATGCAGAACAGAAGACTTGATTAACCAATTTTCTACCTACAGCTTGTCACTTCTTTAGTCAAATTTATGGAAAAATATAATACAGTTTGACACAGCACAAAAAGTAAGGAAAGTTGTGTTTGGTAGATTGTTTCTTTTGTTGCAAAAACGCTTCTTGACCATAAATGTTGAACAGTTGGAAAGCATGTTAATTTCTCTTTTAAATGGTGCCACATTTGTAAGGAACATACAGTACATTTGTGGGATGAGCAGTAGAGCTGAGCTTGCAAACATGACATTTTTTGACACTTGTTTTGAGCTAATACCCTCAGGTGTTGCCAATCAGGTGCCCCATATAAGATTCATTGCCAAGAAGTAGGGGTGCAATTTATCAGTCTCCATTTCCTTAATTTTGGGAGATTGGCCAATACTTTCATGAGAAGCTGATCTTATCCACAGAACCTACCCACACAAARGTCTGAAAATCAGCCATTGTCCACTTTTGCTCTGCTGTGAAAGAGGGCTGTTGTCTAGTTAAAACATGCTTTAAGGATAGTTCAATGTTTTTCGATAAAATAAGACTGGAACATTGAAGGTGTATTGTGACCTTAAAACACCTGACAGTGTTAGTTATTTTAAAAAAAATCTGTATCGGCCAAAATTGGAATAGGCTGGTCAGGTTTCTTAAAGATTGGTGATTGGCCAGAAAACTGCAATCAGTATACTTAAGCTTTACAGCAAATAAATAATAYACCAAACACAAATATCCTTACTTTTTGAGCCAAGTATATAAACAACCAGAAAGTCCCAATAGCACCCAAGGAGTATGACATTTTAAGCATTTCAAGCAGAAGTGTAAGAAGAAGTGTTGACACTTTCTGCTTGGCCTTAAGAGGAGCAGGGCGTGCTTTCGCTCTCTCTGCCCCCCCCCCCCCCTTCCCTGCTTCGCTGCTTTTGCTTTTTCGAGCTCTTTTTTCACCTTCCATCCGAAACTAAAGGAATTATGGATTTGGTCAGCTGGACTCTGAATGAAATTGCCACTATTTTTTTCTACACTTGGAATGAGGGGAACGTGGCTGTCTGGGTGGAATGGTTGCTGCTGGATTTGTCTGATTTCTGGGGCTGGAACATGATATGCCAGCACCACTTTCCATTGAAGACATGGACGATCATTATTTATTTGGATTATGATAACTGGATTCCTGTTGACTGGCAGAGGAGGGTTCCAGATTTATCGAAAAGTGAAAGTGATCCTGACAGTGGATTGGGCCTTTGAAGAGCTGTTGGGCGCACTTGAAGGATTCTGCCGGCTGGAAGCACACAGACTCTCAGCTGGGGGAAAATTCGTAAACTGGATGTGATTCTGATGAGGATCACAGCTCAAGACCGACCCTTTGGCATATGTGGACTACATCTGGGTGGGCTTCAATCGGTGAGAGGCAAGGAATGACCCCAAATTTGGCTGATTGGCCTTTTTTCGCCACCTCAGATTTTGCAGTAAAGACACTTCAAAACGAATTTCAAGGCTGCTTTGTTCCAAAACAGTTGGATTATTTATCCGGCTCCCAGCAGCATGGCCTTGAGGACAGTGCTTATCTTAACCTCCCAAGGAAGGAATGTCAACAAAGAGCTGGATTCGCTCCCAACCCCATCACCTGTGTTGGACCCAGCCTCGGAACTCAATTGGCTGAGGAGGAGGAAAATCTCTGAACTCTAGCGAACTGAGTAGAGACAATAACATCATGTGACTCTGGACTCTGGATAGCACCCCCCCCCCCCAACGTCACATACTCCTCTGAATCCACCCCATTTACCTCCCCTTTATGTGTCATCTGACCTAAGCCCACCCACCAGGCTGTCTTGCTCTCTCCTGAGTTGTTAACTCAATTTTCCTTTTGTGTATTTCAAGCTGTTGTTAAAGGTGGCGCAACTGGGTTTGCTGCATGATGCTGCGTTCACACCGAACGCGATTTCAGCTTCAAAATCGCAGCCAACGCTGAAGTTGGTCGCTCGTGCACTTTGAGGTCAGACGCAGGACAACTCTTGAAGTGCTGCACAGCAACAGCCTCCCCGCCCCTCCCTCCTCTGTTGGGCTCTGTTTAATGTCGGACAAGGAAGTGGCTTTGCTTTATTTACAGAGAGCAAGAGCATGTCACGTTCATCAGATAATTAATTCATAATTAATTCACCAGATAATTCAGAGTAGAGGCTCACAGCTCGCTTTCAGGACTATTTTTCCAGTCTGATGAGTCGCCGCCACGCATTGGTGCAGACATCTCCTGTCAGGACACCGACTGCAGGCACTCATTTCAGCTAAAAAGCTCCTCTCCATCTGTTTCAGGTTAGTGGACATCATTCAGTAAACTGTCCCGTYGGGAAATATGTCGCTACGTCACACAGTGGAGTCTCTCTGATTGGTTGATGCGGCGCGTCGAGCTGCAAAAGATCAGATTTTCTAACTTCAGCGATTTGCGCCTCAGCGCGTCGAACGCTCAGATCGTTCAAATCGTGCTGCTCTAATCGCGCTTGAGGCGCCGCAGCACTTCCCGACGTTGCTTGAAGCGCGTCTACCATAGACTTTGTATGTAAACCTGAGGCTCCTGATGCTGAAATCGCGTTCGGTGTGAACGCACCATGACCGGTTTCACCTGTTCCCCCATGTTTGTTTTGTGTGTCTTCTTGAATGGGTGTTTCTTAACTGCCCCCTCCACTGAATGAACAGCACCTTGTGAATTTATTTCTGTGAAAGACGCTATATAAATAAAACTTTACTCTACTTTACTTTACTTTAAGGTTAGAAATTTTGAATAAATTTGCACCATGTTTCTGGAAGGATCTGTTTTATGTCCAGAAACTCAATTGCTTGAGAATTGATGGTTGTGGATGCTGCTTGAAACTTGCTTTGTTTACTGACACCTTATTAGTCCAGCTCTGTCATTCTGACACTCAGGTACAAGGACTGGACAGAAAATGAAAGGGAAATCAGCATGCAAAGATAAAAACCTTCTGAAAGCCTGACCACTTCAGGAGATAAAGGGTTTAACACTTTGGCATAGGGCAGAGCACGTTTCACTAATTTGTGAATGTGGAATATTTTAGTTTTAGCACCATGGACAGCGCCTAACACTACTATCTTCTTTCTCTGGGGAAAAAAAAATGCGTTTCCCATGTGACTCTGAAGGGTCAGAAACCCACCCACACATCCACCCACCTACACCCAGTCTAGCTACCACCACCACATCACTGTTTCTCCTCCTCTCTCTCCTCTCGGTGTTGTTCGGGGGACACAGTGAGGTACAGCGGGCCCTTCAGATGTGGAGGAGGGGGGAAATGGACACAGACGCTGCTGCGGATATCCGTCTCGTACCTACCTGACACAAAACGGTTTTTTCCTCCTAATTTCCTTTTTTTATTTGTTTTATTTTTTAGTCTTCTCTCCTGCTGACGGTTCGGTGAAGAGGCGACCGATGAGATAGTCTGGTTTCGTAACGTGCTGCTGAACACCGGTGCAGCGCGGAGGACAAGAAAGAAAGAAAAGAAAACAAAACAAAAAAAGGACCCTTTCCAAGGATTTAAAGGAGAGCCGCTATCAGTGTCACCTGGGATTTTTTTTTCTTTCGGTTCAAATTAGCGTAGCCGCACGCGTGGTATCTCTCCAAGAGATTTTTCATGCCTGGTTAAAAAAAAGAGCCAAAATTTAAATTCCTAAAACAGACCTCTTTACCAGAAGATAAAATAAATAAGGGGTAAGTGTATTTTCTTTCTTCTTGTTTTGACTCTTTCCGCAGCACTCTAAAGCTATTCAGGTGGCTGCTGGTAGCTTTGCCACCGCTGTTAGCTTTTTTTTTTTTCAAGTCACTATAAAAGCTTTTTGTGTCGCGTTTTCTGCAACAATGGAAGAAATGCACGCATGCATGCTAGCTGCCTGGTGGATACAGCGTGTGACAGCAACGCCTGACGTTAGGAGCCATGTCTCTGGATGTCTGTCTTCCCCCCTCGCCTTTGTTTGAATCCGTGTCAAAAAACGTAGGCAGCCACATTTTATCTGCGTGTTCTGCTGAAAGCCAGCCTGTGGAGCTTTGATTCAGCATCTGCTGCTAAACCAGCCCAGCCTTGTTGCTTCCCCCTGCTTATTTTATTTTATTTATTTTTTTTTTGCATCATGCTAAATTTGCTACACTTGCAGCACTGGCATAAAGCTGCAGTTTGTTTTGTTTTCCTCGACACTGTTAGCTGGTTTGGTTGTGTTGTGATGAATTTACCCCGCATGCCCACCAGACTGAGTCATAACATAGCAGGGATGCATCATGCTATTGTTTTGAAATGAGCATTTTTGCCACYTAATTAACAAATTGAGACAGTTCTGTTAGCCATGTGCTTTTATAATCCACAATGCTAAGACCAATGAGTATTATATTTGAGTAGAAAACACAGACAGCTTGACTTTTGGTGTATCAAATACAGTAGATTGAGAATGTCTTGGTTAATCTGATAAACTGTTAATTAAAGCTATTTTTGATGGCTTCCCAAGTAAAGCAAACTCAAGAAAAAACAATGCAAGATCAAAACTGCACAGTGTCTACATAAAAATATAGGTAGTAATTTGAAAAACATTAAAATGTGGAAGCAACAGATGTTGAAAGGTGCAGTTTAAAAGTGGCAAAATATATAATGAATATCATCCAACAGTTGTTTTAGGTTTGAACATCATGCCTTGAGGAAATAGTTAAATATTTGATATTCAAGTTTATTTGTGTTTTTTTTTTAACTGAATGGTGTTTTTTCTTTTGTAGGTCTCTGTAAAAGCTTTTCATTTTGACCTCACTTATATTATTGCCTGGTTTCATAGAAGCACTACAGGTTGGGATTGAAATAATCTGACACAGTATTTAAAATGCCCCTCCCCCCCTTATCAGCCACTCCTTGTGACCTGGAAACTGGTTTGTAACAAAGATGAATTTGGACCAGTTTGTTTGTTTAGTAAGAAAAAAAATAAATGCATAATTTAGTGATAATAAATTATAATAAAAACATACTAAATATCTCACAATTACTATATCATTTAATTAGCTCCTTTTATATTGATTTTGTTCATTTATTGTATTATTTGGTGGTTATCATCATTTAGTGTTAGGCAGGAGTTTTTTAATTTATGAAAGATTTTCCAATTTAGGATTTATTGGTTTTGTTGTTCTTTTCCTTGATTAGAAGTTGTTCCTATAAATCTGTTAATTTTTATTTATTCTTAAACTTTATCTAAGTTTATTCTTGGTTATAAAACACAAGTTTTGTGTCAAACAAATAAACAGCAGATTGGATTTCAAGATGTGTTGTTTGTGGGTTTATATATGGGAAACCTGAGAAATATTTAAATTTTGTACTCAGTTGTGTTGTGAAACTAATTATTGTGCCACTTTCAATCTTGCAGCTGGAGTATTTTCTTTATATTTCATTAAGACCAGTACAACGTGTGTAGTATTTAAAAAATACACAGAATATTTTAACTGAATGAAAATCTAGTTACTAATTTCCAGTTTGTTGAACTTTGCAGCCACCTTTCCTGCTTCTCTCGTAACTGATATGTGAATAACCATTTTTGTAGCCAAAGACTTCTTAATTACCTTCTTAAATATTTCAGTGAATAACTGATTGTTTCATTTAGTTGAGACAGTGTTGTTTTGTTTGTGTAAAATAAAAATGCTACCACCAGAGGGCGTCACATGGACTTGCTGCTGCTCATGCTTTGTTKCTTTTGAGGATTTGCATCAGGTGTAAGGTTAATGCAGGCCACACACTGCATGTTTAATAATTAACAGCATCCTTTTAGAGATGTGACTGAAATGCAACTTCATGGTCTATTTAATGTGACCAAAACAAGCGAGGAAGACAATGATGCTGTGTAATTTTTATTCAAAACACAAAGTTTGCATAGATTGATGTATTCTCTGGGATGTATTTCTTCTGTGCCTTTCAGTGCTTATTCAGCTGTTCTGTGTAAACATCAGCTTTGAGCAGCCTTCTGTCAGACGGTCTTAGAGAAACTGCCTTGCAGACAAAGCTGAATCTGCCTTCAAATGAGAGATGAAGAGTGCACCTTCATTAAACTTGTATAAATCTTTTTAGGGGGAATATTACAGTGCATTGCTGGAGCTGTTCTGGCAAATGTACTGGTAGATATTTCTGTTTTTGTGTTTTTGAGATAAAATTTATTTATTTTTTGTTAAAGTAGGTAATTATAAAGTGGGATTCATGRTACATTMAGCAAAGTAACATTTATTTCATACWCTCTTTCTTTATATGATGGATATTGAGAAAGTTAATCATTGCTTCTCTATGATTCCACTGAGAACTTATTTGCATTTATTGTTTACGTATGAAATAACTCTTTGCCTTTTCACTAAAGGCATACACAGATCATGATGTTTGATAGATTATAAACGTGTAGACGAGATGAACACTCATCAGCCCCTTCAGCACCACAATGTGGCTGCATATAATCAGACATCTCAGAGCTTCTTACATCACTGACACAAGAACCAATCAAGTATTGTACACAAAATGTGCCGAATATCTTTCTCATACTATTTTTTTAACAGTAATGTGTTAAGTGGCGATTTACTCTCACAGCTCTCGAAATCTTTTTTTCAGCAATCAATTTTAATTTTTATTTTAGTTCCATTCACAATTTTACTTCACTGTAAAACATCTTAACTTCAAGTTTAACTTTATTTTTGATTACAGTAACATTTCTAGTCTGTATTATAAGTTTTACTTTTAACATAGTGTGACACTCATACTACTCCCGAAAGCAAAACTGCATGGCGTGATTCTTTAATGTGAATTCCAGAAAGTGACATTATTTGCAACTCAAAATCTCTTTTTTCCCCATTAATCTGCTTGTTAGATCAGAGATAGAAACTCTGACAAACTGAAGTGTCATTTAAAAAAAACCCAAATGTTTCTTCAGTTCAGTCACACCAAATAAACTGTCAGACTTAACAGATCTGCAGCATCACAAAAATACATTATTTTCTGAGGGAAACCAAGAATACTGCTTGCTACAAAATTWAAATCAGACATCATTGGTGGGTATATTGAACACCTTAGATAGCTTAATAAAGTGAATTAGAAAAGCYTGTCTTAATAGAGAAGAGAATACAAAAGACAAATCTACATTTCATCTGATGGCAAATATCCGCACATCGTGGGTTTAAATGGTGAAGCAAAAAATACTTGTTGTCACAGATTAAATATATTTTTGCCAAAGTTACAGACCTGTTATCTGCTACACTCTCTTGGCGTGTGCCAGGAAAGCAAACWCAATGAGTGAATATTTTAGGTGCTATCTTGACTGAGTTTAATAAAAATATTTTAAAAATATTTACAACCAAAGTCAGAGGTTGATCTCAAGTATCTTGCATTCAGAACAAATTATTTGTGATATTTTTTCTAAACTATACAAGGGAAAATAGTATCAGTAAACCGTTTTTTCTTCTTAGGATAACAGAATAAAAGATTATGACCTGGCAAAAGAGGGGTCAAAGATTTGTTGATAAAATTTTACTTGGTGGTTTAAATCGAGGTTGTGTTGTATTTTCTTTATGTAAATGTTTCTTTTTTACTTTATTAAACAGCAAACTATCTGTTATACTTTGTTTATCTGTACGTTTTTGTTGCTGTTGCCAGGAATAATTGTTYATTAGTCTTTACTGAGCAAAGCTGAAATAGATCTATTAGTGGATCYGAATGTTACGAAGAGTGTGTAGTTTTTTTCACGTTTGAACAGATTGTGCAATGATCTTCATTGTTCCCCTCATGGGTGAAGTTTTTAGTTATTAACCTTTTTCAGACCTTGACTCTGCCTTGTCAAAGTTAAATAGACGTCCTACTGAAGTCGCCACTGTTCCCCTTTAAGAATTTCTAAATGCCACATGGAGTAAGCTCGGTGCCAYACAGGTGTGTACTTGTGTAGATGAAGAGATCGTGGAATCAACTGGGTGTAGTGTTTGTAGTTTGTGGGGTGTGCTTTATGCTCTGCCACTCATTTCACACACATGCACCAGTTTGGCTTTCTGAATACCCTAGATACTTTAGTTGCACGAGAATGATCTCTGGAAACATTTTTTTCTGATGTTGATTGTGGAGAAGTTACATATTTACATGCCATTGAGGTGCCCATTGAATCCACTGTGGTTTCCTTGCCAGATCACTAGCTGRTGCTGTAATAAAAGRAGCTTCCTTTGTATTTCAATGAYAYGTTCATGCCCACWGAGCATGAAAACCATTTCATTCAAAATGGTTGGTTTTGACTGAGGAGGGGGTTGGTTTACTCCTACATGTTAAAGAGGGTGAGTAGCACAAACAGAATCCACCTTTGTTACTGTTCATCTATTTGTGCACGTGCAGAGGCGCTGACTGAGGCTGCTCATTGTGTGCATACAGAATTTCATGGGCTGTGTCCAAATTCAGGGGCTACATCCTTCAGGCCAAATTTGTCAGCTACTTACGTCACTGTTCTGTCCAAATTCTAAGACTCCTCCAATTATGGCCCACAGCCCTGTCCCGAAATGCATTGTTGCGGGCCAGAGTTTAATTTTTGCTTGACTTWGCGGATGAAGYGAAGGAGTGCAGTTTTAAAYAAAAATCTGGTGGTAACAATTGAAAGTTTAAAGTGGTTGTGGTGTAAGGCTTGTCATTTGTCATAGACATGTTTTTTAATATTCTTGTCAGAAATCATCTTAAACAA